CCAGGCATGTGCCCTTGGCGGGAATCAAACCCGGGACCCTTCAGTCCGCAAGCCGACGCTCCATCCACTGAGCCAAACAGGCCAGGGCAACCCAATTTTTTAAAAAAGTGATAGCATTAGAACCAGTGTTTATTGTAAAACCAAACATTACTGAACATCAAAACTGGCAAAATAGATTTCAAGAACACTTGTATATCATTTCATTTTGACAATCCTGCTAGGTAGCTGTTCTGCCCATTTTATGTACGATGAAACTGAGGCCCAAACAGGCAAAGGCAGGTGAGTGACAGAGCTGGTCTCCTAGCAGGACCACTCCCTGCTCTGTGCTGGTACTGAGCAAAGCAAGGCCTGGTCCCTGTTCTTAAGGAGCTCAAGGTCCCTTGGGAATGAGAGGTGTGGGGTGGGCCTTAGGCCAAAATCCTGTTGCTAAAGGGATGACACACAGGTGAGGAAAGAGTAGATGAGGCGCAGCCAAACCAACTGAGTAGCCCATCTGGATAGAGCGTTGTTCTGACATATCAAGGTTGTGAAGTTTGATCCCTGGTCAGGGCACATACCAGACTCAACCAATGAATACTTAAATAAGTGGAACAAGTCAATTTTTTTTTCTGTCTTAAATTTGAAAAATAAAAAAAATAAAACAATAATAATAAAAGGGTGGCCACTCTGACAGGACTCTAAAATTCTGGCAGATGCACAAATAACCTTTCCTTGTAGTTCCCACAACTGCCCATGATGTGCAGTTGGATTTTTATATTTATTTTTTTTGTTGTTTTATCCTCACCTGAGAATATTTTTCCCTTTTTTTTCTTTTCTTTTCTTTTTTTTTTTTTTTTAGAGAGAGTGGAAGGGAAGAGAGGGAGAGAAACATCAACGTAAGAGGCACATGGCTTGGTTGCCTCCTGCACACACCCTGACCAGGGCCAGAGATAGAACCACAACCAAGGTATAAACTGTTGGCCAGTAATCAAACCCGTGACCCTTCAGTCCTTGGGCCAACACTCTACCCACTGAGCAAACGGTCACTGCCTCCTGAGCAAAACTGGCCAGGGCTGGATTTTCATATTTAAATTGACTTTGTATCTTAGACACATCAAGGTTTTGATTTATAGAAAAGTTACAGCCCTAACCGGTTTGGCTCAGCGGATAAAGCATCGGCCTGCGGACTCAAGGGTCCCAGGTTCGATTCCGGTCAAGGGCATGTACCTTGGTTGCGGGCACATACCCAGTGGGGAGTGTGCAGGAGGCAGCTGATCGATGTTTCTCTCTCATCGATGTTTCTAACTCTCTATCCCTCTCCCTTCCTCTCTGTAAAAAATCAATAAAATATATTAAAAAAAAGAAAAGTTACAAAGATATTATAGTTCCAACTAGAGGCCTGGTACATGAAATTTGAAATTCGTGTACTGGGCGGGAGGACGGGGGAGGACATCCCTTCTCGCAGTCCAGGAGCCCTCAGGGGATGTCCGACTGACAGCTTATGCCTGATCCCTGTGGGGAGCAGGCCTAAGCCAGCAGTCAGACATCCTTAATGCTGCTGCGGAGGTGGGAGAGGCTCCAGCCACCACCACTATGCTCACCAGCCCTGAGCCGGCTCCTGGCTGAGCTGACCACCAGGGGGCAGCTCCTGCATTGAGCGTCTGCCCCCTGGTGGTCAATGTGTGTTATAGCGACCGGTCATTCCCCCATTCTGTCAATTTGCATATTAGCCTTTTATTATATAGGATGTACCCCATACCTGTGGTTAACATGTTACACTGACTTGATGCATTATCACAACTCCTGAACCAATATGGATACATTAAGGACACCTACCTTTATTGAGTTTCCCTTCCCCCAAAGTTCTCACCCTGTGAGCATGGCATCTCGGGAGCTGAGCCCCCAACCTAGGCTCACATCTGACTGAGAGAGACCTCAGGGGACCACAGAGCCTCCCCGCCAAGCTGCTCCTGAATTCCTAACCCACAGAAATCAGAATGTTGTTTCCAACTCCTGGGTATCTGGTGCAATTTGTTATACAGCAATAAATAGGGGAAGAAAGAGCCTGCCTCAGGAGCCCAGGTCTTCTGGGAGAGGGAAGAGGGGAGAAGGAGAGGGGGGAGGGGGGAGGGGGGAGGGGAGAGGGGAGAGGGGAGAGGGGAGAGGCGGGGAGGAAATACATGGGACAGGGGGAGGAGGAGAGAGGGAGCACAGGAAATGTGGGGCAGTACAGGTTGTGAACCTGGTGCAAGAGTGACCCATGTTCATTGTGCAGACAGGCTTCTCTGTGGCTTGAGGTTCTTACCCTGTGAATATGCTACTTTAAAAAAATCATTTCTAAAGAGAAGTAACAGACTTGCAAAGGTGCCAACACATGCAATGAAATCTCCTTTCCAGGAAGTGGTTCTGTAGAAAATGGCTACTTCCCTGAGGGTGAGGTTGAGTGCTCTGCTGTAGAGGTTGGTGCTGGGAGTCAACTGACCATAGGGAAGGCATCTGTGTGGTTGCAGGGTCCCAGGGTCTGGATGAGATTCAGTGGAGGGCTGGGCTGGAGAGGGCTGGGCTGGAGGAAAGTGTCTCAGGAGGTCCTGGGAGAGGACAAGGGGGCAGCAAAGAAAACTCAGCAGAGGTGCTGGCAGCTTAGAGCAACTAGCTAGACAAAGCCCATGGGGAAAGGGTGAGGGGCAGGCAGGAGTCACTGCCTCCGTAGGTATGGTGACAGGGAAAGGTAGCAAGATCCCCATCAGTTTATGGGGGTGCTCCTGGCAAGCGGCAGGGGCCAAGGATGCTGCTCAAAACCCTCCTCCAACCCTAACCAGTTTGGTTCAGTGGATAGAGCGTCAGCCTGTGGACTCAAGGGCCCCAGGTTTGATTCCGGTCAAGTGCATGTACCTTGGTTGTGGGCACATCCCCAGCAGGGAGTGTGCAGGAGGCAGCTGATAGATGTTTCTCTCTCATCGATGTTCCTAACTCTCTATCCCCTTCCTCTCTGTAAAAAAATCAATAAAATACATTTTTTTAAAAACAGAAACAAAAACCCTCCTCCAGTGCCCAGAACGTTCCCCCACCCCCGCCCCATGTCAACAGTACAGAGGGGAGAGCCTGCTCTAAGAGATATACAGGCTTAGCTGCCGGAACACTGGAGGGATGCCATCACCATTGAGACTGGTGGGTGCAGGAGGGTGTGGGTGGGTGGGGTGCCCCAGCTGCAGCCCCGCCTTGTGCTGGGTGAAGTCCATCTTCTTCATACTTGAGAAGCAGCTGAGGGGCACTGGCTTCCCCAGGGGCAGTGACCACCTCTCAGGCCTTCTAGGAAATTTCTCCCTTGGCAGGTAAGCGGGTTGTGACTTCCTGAACGACCACCACCCATTTAGAGGGAGAACAGACCTCCACCCACCCCACTAGCCACCACTGCAACCTTGCCTCCGGACAAACACCCAGAATCCACAAAAACATAGCAAGCGCTGAAAACACCTGTTGGGACATGGGGCCAGCATGTGGTTAGAAGCCTCCCCAGATGGGGCCGGGGCTGGACCCCACAAGCTCCAAAACGACCTGAGGGAGACGCACGCGGAGCCCAGGAAAGCAGTCAGAGCTCCAAAATGGCATTTACTTCCCGTCTGGACGGTTCAAGTCTACAGCACAGCCTTGAAACACAGTGAAGATGAGCAAAGAAACAGACATTTAAAAATGCTTCACAATAATGGAATAGGCCCATGTGGACCACAGGGTTTCCATGGGGCCTCATGGACATTTGTTATCCAAAAAGTACAGCCCGTGTATTTGTTCACTGTCAATGCCGTCAAACTTTTGGAAGGGAGCCAGGCCCATTTGGCAGTGCTGCTGGGGCCCTCCAGTGTGAGGATAGACTCGGTCCAGAAAGAGTGACCTGTGCCGGGCCAAGCTACTAGGCATCAGGAGCCTTCCCCATGAGATGCAGACCCCCACCATGGTCGTAGCTTTGGGCCACCAATCCCTCTCTCCCAAGCCTGACCCTATACTGTCACCCCTCTGGCCAACTCAGGAGGGATGACAGCAGATCTGTTAGAGCCACATGTAACAATTTCCTGCTCTTAGATTTGAGCAAAATAAACTGAGACAAAGATCGCTGGCAGGGTTCTGAGGCCCCCAACATATTATGCCATCTCCCCAGCACATCCTGTTAACCAACCAGAAGTGATTGTGTAGCTCCTTCCTGTTCAACATCTCAGGGCACCAGGGCACCCACTCTCACACATGCCAGGAGAGTCTCCTTCAGACTGACCCCTGCAGTAATCCCCGTCGGGTAAGGGGGACACCAGGAGAGAGGGCGTGTCATCATGGGTGACAATGAAGCCAGGGTAATAATGAAGGGGCAGGACCTTGATGTTAACATTGCCAATGTTTACTATAACAGTGTTGCATCAGCTTAGAATAAATAACTCATTGGTGTGGGGCTCTAACTGGTATGTGTTCAAGGCCTGGCCAAGTAAAAATGGGTATGGGTTTGTATCCAGCTAGAATTCCAAGCCAGGGGCCCTAGGGGCCCTGGGACCCGTCTCATGCTTCGGGCAGGAACAAGCCCAATCCTGTGGCTCCCAGACCAAGAGCTGGGTACAGGGCATGTACACAATGACCTTAGTTGTCCATGTGGGAGCAGTGAAAACATGGCATCATCACAGCTACCCATGTAGGTTACTGAGACAATAGGGCTGGCTGGGCTGTGACAATGCTCAGCGCTGGGACATGCATGGAAATCCACGGGGGACAGGCAGCCTCGATATCGTCTGGAGCGGAGACTCACCCGACATGAGTCCGAGCAGAAAGAGGCTCTAGAAAGATTTATGTCTGTCTCTTGTCCTGCATGAGCAACACAGCAAATGCTAAAGCACGTTTCTGCCTTTTACAAACACTGGTTTTCCTAAAAAATGTACAAGGAGGCACAGCAAACTCAGGAACCATCTTAAGAGGAAACCACACAAAGGAGGGGGAAATGGAAAAACACATGATTATCTCTGGAGCTATACATTCATATCAGACTCTTTAAAAAACAACAACTCCTGTTTAATATCGGATACAATGCTTTTTAACATAAAAAGACAAATGTGTACCTTATATTAAACTATTCTGTACAGTCGCAAGTAATGAAATAATGCAAAATGAGTCAGTTTTGTCCTTTCAAAAACCTTTCAGGAACTGTATCTTCCCTGAAAAGCCAGGAAAATAAAACCCATAGACAGATCTGATGTACACATCTCTCCAGTTCCATCTTCAGAACCCGTGTGCAACAGCCCAGGGACCTCTGGCAACTCTCACTACACACGATGGCGCCTTCCCACATCAGCATCGCTGGTTCCTTTCTTCTAGGAGCTGGTTGTCAAACATTTCTTTTTCCCTTCAGAAGATAAAAAATGACAACTTCATTTTAGTAATTAATTGTGTTTTAAAAAGCATGAAACAGAGGAGTTGATGTATGATGGGGGCAGCTTCAGTTTGGAAAGTCCTGGAGGATGGTGGGGATGGTTTGGACGACAATGTGAATGTGTCCAATGCTGCTGAATTGTCCACTTAAAAATGGTTAAGATGGCCCTGGCCAGATAGTGCAGTTGGTTAGAGCCTCGTCCGGATACCCCCAGGTTGTGGGTTCAATCCTCGGTCAGGGCATATACAAGAGTCAACTAATGAATACATACATAAGTGGAAAAATAAACTGATGTTGTTTTCTCTCTTTTCCCTCTCCACATTAAAATCATAGTAAAAGAAAAGGTTTAAATGATTTAAGATGATAAAGTTGTATTATGCATATTTTACTACAACTATATAAAGAACATTTTTAAAAAATTAATTAATCCTCGCCCGACCCGCATGGCTCAGTGGTTGAGCATCAACCTATGAATCAGGAGGTCAAAGTTTGATTCCTGGTCAGGGCACATGCCCGGGTTGCAGGCTCAATCTCCAGTGGGAGGCATGCAGGAGGTAGCCAATCAAGGATTCTTTCTCATCAATGATGTTTCTCTCTCTCTCCCTCTCCTTTCCTCTTGAAATCAATAAAATATATTTTAAAAAACAATTAATCCTCACCAAAGGATATTTTTTCCACTGATTTCTAGAGAGTGGAAGGGAAGGAGTGGGGAGAGAGACATATTGATTGGTTGCCTGCCACAGGCACTCCTACCAGGGCTGAGGAACCTGTATCCGAGGTATGGTATGTGCCTTTGACAGGGAATCAAACCCACAACCCTTGGGTCTGAAGGCCAACACTCTAACCACTAAACAACCCAGCCAGGGCAAAAAACAATTTTTAAAAGTATGAAATTTCAAATTGTCCTTTTTTGAGTGGGTGGAGGGGTTGTTAATCCTCACCCGAGGATATTTTTCTTTCCTTTTCTTTTAATTTAAAAAAAAATATATTTTATTGATTTTTTTACAGAGAGGAAGGGAGAGGGTTAGAGAGTTAGAAACATCGATGAGAGAGAAACATCGATGAGTTGCCTCCTGCACACCCCCTACTGGGGATGTGCCCACAACCAAGGTACATGCCCTTGACTGGATTTGAACCTGGGACCCTTGAGTCCGCAGGCCGATGCTCTATCCACTGAGCCAAACCGGTTAGGGCCCAAGGATATTTTTCCATTGATCCCTAGGGAGAGTGGAAGAAAAAGACAGAGAGAATTATCAATGAGAGAGAAACACATTGATTGGTTGCCTCCTGCACAAGCCCCTACCAGGGCCTGAGCCGGGGAGGACCCTGCAACCAAGGTATTTGCCCTTGACCGGAATCGAACCCGGGACATTGGGTCTGCAGGCTGACACTCTATCTACTGAGCCAAACCGTTTAGGGATCAAATTGTCCTTTTTAAGTGACTCCCAGTTAAGAAAAACTGTGTCAACAATCACTTGGCTGGCCACGGCATTCAGGATATAAATAAACACATTAATTCAGAGGTGGCTCAGGTAAACACAGGAACCTTGGAGGTAAATGTGCACACGTCAGTTCAAAACAAGAAACACGGCAGCCTGAAAATGAGCACAACAGAAACAGCACACACACCTTAGTGATGCACAGTAAAGTCCGTTTACACAACCTCTTAACTTATAAAACAAGAGGGACACGGGTATATATCATGACAGACAGACCATGTGGCTAAAAATTGGGGCGAAAGAACAGAAACAGAGGCTAATCACTAATTGTGTTCCTGAGGAATAAAATGGGGCCGGTGTTTTCACCCTAATTCAGTTATGTTAGCCGGTGAACCTCATTTCCAGTGGGCATTTGACATGTTCATGGCAGGCAGAGGCTGTGAAGAAATGCTGGCAACCCAGCAGAGAGAAGAGTGTGGAGATGGAGACAGGATCACAGGAGCAGAAGTTTGAGCTCCCAAACATAGCTACTCTGCCCAGCTTCCCCCAAGACCACTATCTTGACTGTATATGGATCGTGCCAGGCCTGAGATCCAGGAATCGAGATGCCAAATTTGTTTCCGAAGGCCCTTCCTGTCCTGTTAAATGAGCTGCATGCAGAGCCAATTGACTCTTCTGTGGGCAGCTGCACAGGAGGCCTGTCATCCCCTGAGGCCGGCAGGCAGCCCTCCTACCCTCCCTGCACACGCTGGGGCCCTGCCTGGGAAGGATGCCGAGCGTCTTCCCCGAGTGTCCTGTGACAGTGCCCAGTCAGCCCTGGAGGGAGCCCCTAGCCTGTGACTCTAGTTGAGTCTTCAGCTTGTCACTGGCACGCAGCCACGCCTGTTTCCAGCAAGACCTGGCAACATGCCCAGAAGGGATTAGGGGCTCCGGGGCCAGAACTCCAAGGGCAGCTCACCACACCAATGTGAGAGAAACGTCTTGATCAGAGCCTTCTCTGACTGGTGAATACCCATCAGGATGAGTGCTTCCTGTTTTCAAACAGCCATGCCACTGCAGCACAGGGGAGAGTTGAAAATACAGTATCGGCCCTCAGCAATCAGAGATTAGGCAGAGAGGCCGAGTACACGTCCGGGGGTCACCCTGGCTGCCCCTATAGGGTGCTACATGGGTCCTCGGTATGTATCCAGTATAGGGCCCAGGGCCCACGGCCCAAACTCGACAGAGGACAAGAACGTCCACTGCTGGCTTCACCGGGTTCGTCTGGCATTGCAACTGCCAAGTGCTAATGTATACTTTCAAGTTTATGTGACTCATGTACCAAAGTGGGTATCTAGTCCAACATATCCAGAAGAGGGGCCTCAGTCCCAGCTGCTAGCATGTGTGCAAATACAAGCCTTGGAAGATACGTTGTAAAATGGTTGGGGCAAGGCTCTGAGCAGCCTACCGGTAGCTCAGCAAAGGTCCTTTGATGTACTTCTTCTCAGCCGTCTTGTAATCTACCTTGTCCACCGCAGAAATCGCGCAGATGATGGCCTGCAAGAGGGGAACAGGTCAACACCAGGTCAGGCCACTCTCGGCGCCAAGCTATGAAGAATTAGCAAGGGGCCAGTTCGACCACATGCTGGCCTCCAGAAACGTCCCCATTTATGGCCTAAAAGATATGTATGGAACCCGTGACATCTCTGCTGTAATAAAGTTTATGAGTTAAATCAGTAACATTATCTTCTAAACTAAAGACGAGAGTTCCTGTCACTAAAAGCATATAATAACAAAAGGCAGCACCCAAACCAACAAGTGCACTTTAGAAAAATTTTGAGTTTACTGTTAAAAAATAAAAAGGTACAATAGTGATGATTTGAATACATAATAGATGCCTGATATCAAGGAATCATTGTCAATTTTTTTAGCTGAAATAATAGCATTGTGGTTATATCAAAAGACATCAGGGCCAGGTCATTCTTTGTGGGGCTGTCTTGGGTTGATGAGCAGTATCTTGGCCCCACCTCCTTGATGCCAGGAGTACACTTAGAGTGACAACCCCAAATGTTCCCAGGAAGCAGGATTATCCCATTTTAAAGATACACAAGGAAGCATTTATGAATAAAAAACATTTGGGCCCTGGCCAAGTAGCTCAGTTGGTTAGAGCATCATCCCAATGTGCCAAGGTTGCAGGTTCAATCCCCAGTTAGGGCACATACAAGAATCATCTAATAAATGCATAAATAGTTGTAACAGCAAGTTGATGTTTCTCTCTCTTTCCCCTTTCCTCTCTCTCTCTAAACTCAATTTAAAAAATTATATATATATATATATATATATATATATATATATATGTGTGTGTGTGTGTGTGTGTATATATATGTATATGTATATATATATCCCAATTTTTTTTACATGTTTGGGATTCCCCTCCGCCCAAAAAAAATAATTTGGGGGAAGGACTGGAGGCACATATGGACTGAGGTCACCATTCCAGCCAGGTAATGAGCACATAAGGGTTCACGATATTCTTTAAAAAAAAAAAAAAATATATATATATATATATATATATATATATATATATATATTTGGGACTTGCAACAATTGTAAAGTTCAACATATTTTCATTTGTCAATATCTTGTCCACACTATGCATACACACCCAGCAGTGCCCATTCTGAATTTCACAGTAACCTAGGAGCTGTGTCTGCTCCTTGCCCAGCCCAGCCCCAGTACTGAGGAAAGTTAAAACTCCCATTTCCAGAGTAAATTCTGGAACAATCACTACCAGTACATGCAGATGAAGCCTGCATCTTCTTCCCCCAGGGCTGGCGATGAGATCAGAACACCCTAGCCCTGTGCCACTGCCCACGGAATGGCCAGGAGGGCTGGGACTCCATGAATCCCCTCCAGGCAGATTCTGGAAGGGTGACATTCTAGCATCAAACCGCCCCATGCCCCATGCCTGGTACAGCCCATGCCGGGGCAAAAGTGGGCTGGGTCTATAGTTGGGCCCACACCACAGACCCCCACCACCCTCATGCACAGGATGTCTTGCTGGCCACTCACTTCAGGCAGAAGGACGTCCAGGATGAAGCGGATTTGGTCACCGTTGATCTGCGTCAGCATCCTGCTGCCTGTTTCCCGGTAGACCCCTTGCAAGTATTTCACCACCAAGTCCAGCTGTTCCTCATCTTCCAGGTACGTCTCTACACATGTCACATACTGCCCAGAGTTCAGAAACGTCTGCAGCCACCTGGATGGCTTCCTGTTCTTCAAGATGGCCCGCAGGTGGTTCTCAGCGCCCCTCGTCTTCACGATGTACTCCACCAGCTTTTGGTTGGCCCGGTCCCGGGCAGCTCGTGATCGATCGGGCAAGACTTTTCTGCAGGGCTGCCTCCTGCCCCAGGGACTACCAGCCAGAGGCATCTCAGGATCCTCATGGCAGAGCCGAGGGAATCGGGTCCCCAAGACATCCTGCTGGATGGACTTGCGGACAGGATAGCCTATAGAGAAGGCAAGGCATGCGTCTGTGGACCTGCCGGCCAGGTGGGGTCCCTTTACTATGTCCCGGGAGTATGGGGCAGACCCCAGGCCATGCGGACACTGGGGCAGCCACATTCCTAAAGGGTTCTTCCTCTGGCAGAAGCCCTCATCATTCCCTCAACTCTGCCCTTTAGCCAAGTTTAACTTGAAAGAGCAGAGCCCCTACAGCCCCCAAAAGAAGCATTAATTCATCTATCTCCCTCTTTAAGGATGGGGGGAATGGGAAAGTATGTATGTGTGACTGTCACTAAATGAAAACAGAGAGACAAGGAAGGAAGACAAAAAGTACTGTTCATATATTTTAACGTTTGGGCGTTATCACTGACAGGGCAGTTTTAGAAGTGGACCTGCTGTCCAGGCCCCTATGGCAGGGAGGGAAAGGAGACCTGGGGGTGCCCTGTGGATACCAGGCTAAACGATCCCACCATCCAGGAGAAGGCTTGGGGACCTGTTACTTTTAGACTAAAAAGCAGGCCACACTTTTCAAGAGGAGCTGGTGGACTTACTTATATTCGCTGCATAATATTCCAGGAAAGAGCCAGAGAAGGAACCACAGCCTGCAGAGGAGGGAGAAGGGGAGAAGGCGCACATGAGGCAGGCTCTAGAAACCCCTTTCAGGTTGTAGGGTCTGGATGCTCCGACAACACATCAGCCCCAATGAGACCCCTTCTAGTGGAAGGGCTGGTGCAGCACGGAGCCCGAGGCCACGAAAAGGCCAGGAGTTTCTGCTAACAAGCCTGATTCAGATTCCCAATTCCCAACAGCCCAACTTGGGGTGGACAGAAACCAGCTCTGGTTCAAAGGAGGCCCCATCTTTTGTCCATGTCCAACATCACCACCTCTTCCTGGGTGCCTGCTTGTACACCTGTACTGGGGACACAACTGTCAAGGGCTAGGCCAGACTACCATGGGGAATGGGCTGTGCTCAGCCTTGACCACCAGAGGGTCTGCAGAGGAGGCCCCCATGCTGCTGCCTCCACCCACTCCCTTTGTCCAAGGCTGTGGAGGTCCCACGTACCGAGCCGGACCCTGTAATCAGTGATCAGGGAGACACACCAGCCAATGGCCTGGTCGAAGTCCTCCTTAGCCTCATTCTGCAACAAGAGAGATAGCAGGTGTCAATAGGAGTCTGCTGGGACTCCTCTTGCCGGCTCAGTACCCTTATCTAGGAAGGGGACCCAGCAGATGGCCCCGGGCAGGCTCCCAAGGCTGGCAGGGAATGCCTGGCAAGGCCCAGCTCTGGGGCCAGGCTGCTCAGAACATAGTGCCTTGTGAGCCTGTCTCTGGGCCAGAGGCCTGAAGACTCAAAGAGAAGGTGGATAAACACCCCGAACTGCAGTTGCCATGACCATCATAGGGAGAGGACCTTCAAGTGAGAAATAAATCCTTTTAAGAGACGTCTTTGTGCCCAGCACTTAGAGGGACAGTCTAAGCCTAAAGGGAGTGACATTTGGCCACCATCAAACCAAGAACAATATAACCGGCAAGGCTCCCTGAGCTGGGACGGGTTCCCAGGAAATGTCCACAGGCTCAAGACAAACCCACGTCCTGCGTTACTGCTGCCTTGGCCTGGCCACCCTCCTGTGGTCACCACATGAAGCAGGCAAGGGATGCAAGCACAGCAAGCAGCTCTAGCGGGAGAAGGCCAAACTAACTGGCACCTGGGATGGCAGACAGTGTAGCACCAGGGAAGGAGACACACAGGGGCCTACAGATGCCACAAAGCAGTGATAGTCACCCAAGGGCCAGCAGAGACCGTGAGAGCCAATCCATCAATATTTAGAACAGGCGACACCCCCTGGATGTGCTGCTCACTGCTACTCAGAGGACCCACCTCGTGCTCCCCTACACACTCATCTCACAGGGGAATATGGGGAAGAGGAAACTGGCCACAGATGCCCTCCAGGAATCTAGACCACAAGAGGCCCACACATCATCTTGTAACAGATCCTAAGGCAAGATTCCTACTCTGCTTTCTGCACCATGGCAGCCCCTCCTCCTCCCCACCTGGGAAAGCTACCAGGACCCTAAGAATGCACATAGCACTTAGAGGAGTCAGTGGCCTGGAAGGCTGGGTGAGTAGCTCCCTGTACTTACAGACTGGCATTCAGGGAGCAGAGAACCCTATAAGACTAGAACCAGGCCCCACCGACAAGCACTCTGATGGGGGTTGGGCACCCAGCACTGGTTGTGGGTTAGATGTAGCAGACAAAACAGATGGAGCAAGGCTCACGTTGTGGAGATGGGCATATCAGGGGGGAAAGGAAGGGAAGAGTCTGGTATGGGAGCCAATCTTCCAAACGCCCACCTGTCCCTGCAGCCTGAGGCCTGATGCCTCAGGAAACAACACAGGAGTGGGCAGCGGGCTTCCCAGATCCCAGCACTCTTGAGGATACAGCTCAGACACAGACTGCTTCCCAACCTGGAAACCCAGGAAACCCTGGCAACTGCCATGGGAACCCCCAGAGTGGGTGCAGGCAGAAGCCTCACCTCCCTGCCCAGTTTTGGTTTGTATTTTTGAAAGCTGGAACAACAAAGAGCAGTGTTTCAAAACTGGACAGGGTTTTGAAGGAGCAATACCTCATGGCTCATGGGTAACAAAGCTGATCACAGAATTGTGGGGACTTGGCCACTGGAAGCAGAGCAGGTAGCCTGGGGAGTGTCCTGACCCCAACTCATGCTGTGCTCAGGCACCGGGTGGGCAGGGTCCTTACTCCAAGAGGCCCTGTGCCTCATCGCAAGGGGCGGCCTCAGAAGGAGCCAGAGGGAACAGGCCTCATGTCCAGCCTCTCTGCCACCTTAGCCCCTAGCCTGGGACAAACAGTTCCCCTGCCACAGCCTGTTTCCACCCCTGAACCACAAGACAGACAGGTGGCAAGCTCCTGGGTAGTTGAGGGCCCCGGCAGGAACCCGAGGATAGTGGCCAAAGCAGGCAGGGCAGGTGCTAGTAGCACCCTATGATAGTGGTTTCAAAGGCTACACAAAGGACAGTCATAAGGGAGCTATTTAGTGAAGCACAGATAACAAGCAACCTACCAGAAGCGCCTGCTTCTCTTTACAGTCGAAGTGCTTCAGCCTCTTGAGAGGCACTGTGATGCTGCAGAAAGCAGAGGCAAGGTAACAGAGACGTAAGGCACCACGTGAACAGACATTGTCTTCCTCTGACAGTTAGGAGGGGCCTCTGCCAGACCAGGTCACCCAAGGCAACTGCTGTGCCCAGGTGCCCAAGGAAGCCCCTTGGAGCCATGCCCTGGAGTGACAGGTACCCTTGCATGGGTCCCTAAGGGGACAGAGATGCCAGGGCCCAATCTCTACACTGCTGGTGACCAAAGGAGGGGTGGCAGCACCGAAGTGCCAGAGGATCAGACAGGACCAGCTCTACAGTAGCTTCGGTGCAGAGTGGTGTGGTGCCTGCTGAGCTCGCTGGGAGCAGTGACACATTGTGTGTATTCTCATCCCAGGACCAAGGGCAAGTTGAGAAAGACCGACAACTATCCACATGACAAAATTCAGACTAAGGCAGGGTCCCTGTTCACAACCTGCATGGAGGGAGCCACCTTTGCTAGTTTCTGGGAAATGGGGGTCTGGTGCATGTCTGGCTGGGTGGCCTTTCAAAGCCCGCAAATAAAGGTTGGGAAACTGAGCTGTGTGACCTGGCAGGCCCCGGATGCCTGCTCCCCAGCGCCTATTCCGGGAAGCGTCCGTAAAGAGCCAGGGATGATGGGCTCACCCTCGCCCTTTCGGGTCCATGTGTCCTTCAATGAAAAGCACACTCGCTTTCTTTTCTCTCCGCTTCACGTTCTTGACCTATGGGCAAAGCCAAGAAAACAAAGCATCAAGAAACCAGGAAAAGCCATGGGTTTTAAATCCTTTTTTGACACCATCTCATTGAGCAAGAGGTAACCAACTGACACCTGTGACAGGGAATGCCGCTGGCTGGGGGACTGAAGTGAAGTCCACATGGTAACATGCTTACGAACTGCCCAAGTTTTGCTGCATGCATGGCTCTAAGGCAGTGGTTCTCAACCTTCTGGCCCTTTAAATACAGTTCCTCATGTTGTGACCCAACCATAAAATTATTTTCGTTGCTACTTCATAACTGTAATGTTGCTACTGTTATGAATCATAATGTAAATATCTGATATGCAGGATGGTCTTAGGCGACCCCTGTGAAAGGGTCGTCCGACCCCCAAAGGGGTTGCGACCCACAGGTTGAGAACCGCTGCTCTAAGGGGTTTGACAACTGAGCAGAATCAGGCAGGGTTTTCTTAAAATTTTAAATAAAAGAAACTACTTCTGCTGTTAGCAGTCACCTCTATGTAATTGCCATGGCTGACTGACCTGTGGCCAAGCAGGGCTAGTTCAGGACCAGCCAAGGGCACGAGACAGAGGCAGGGCCTGACCCAAACCCATGTCCTTGGACAAAAGGGCCAAGGAGCCCCTTTCTGTATTGCCTCACAGGCTGCACACAGGGTTCACTGACAAGGGTGGGTGTGGACACCGATGCCCCAAGAATGTCATGTTGGTGACCCGTTAACCAGCAGGGCCCCCAGGGAAGTGGTGGAAATGAGGAAAGGGCTGAAAGGGCAGAGAAAAGGGTGCCTACTGTAAGCAGGTTGTGACATCTCTTGGGAAGGGGGTACTGGAGGGAGGAGGGGGCCCCGGTAAAGGCTACCACAATTGTGCCAGGGGCTTTCTGAAACGCCCACTCACCAGATGTGTGCTCTAGCTACAAATTCTATCCACAAACACTGCAGGGTCTGCCCTTCCTGAAGCCATGCTGCTGCCCTGTGCAAGGAGGCCCGCTGACTGCAGGTCAGACTCATCCAGACAACACAGCTGCTCCTGACTAGACTAATACCTTTCCAACTTAAAGGCCACTGTCTCTCACTAAAAATTAAAGAACTCTGGCTAGAATTATGCAGATCCTGTCTCAGCTGAAGAAAGATAAAGAGTAGCCAAGACAGTGCCTTTGCCTAAACAATAAACTGATTGTTTGCAACATCCAGCTTAAAAGCAAATCCTCAAACTTGGCTACATTTGAGCTTATTCACCACAGTGGGGCACTGGGCAGGATCTCAAATGCCTGTTTTTATTTATTTATTATTTACTGATTTGATTTATTTTAGACAGAGAGAGGAAGGAGGAAAAGAGAGAGGAAAAACCCCCCACAAAACACTGATTTGTTGTTCCACTATTTATGCATTATTGGTTGATACTTACATGTGCCCTGATCGGGGACTGAACCTGCAACCTTGGCATTATCAGGTTGATGCTCTAACCAAATGAGCTACTTGGCCAGGACCTCAAATGCCTTTTTTCATATGCACAATGGCTTCCTACCCCAAAATCTAAAAGACTAAAAAGCTCCTACAGAGGAGAAACTCTGAAATGCACACTTAAAATGAATAAATGGTGGATATTTTTTTCAAGCAGGTTTTCTGAGCCTGGTGGTGAAAATCTGACGGGTAAACGTTATGAGTGGTGACACCATGACTACACTCCCTTTATTCAGGTACATGTGTTTTCAGAAATCCTGCCTCTAAGCCCAACACTTTTCCTAGAAATAATGTGAAAACATTTGCCAGGTTCAACATTGAGGGGGCCAAGTAACTGCACTTAGGAGATAGAGTTGTTCTTACCACTGCGGGCCAGAAGGGGTACTTTTGGTATTTAAGCCAGACCAGCATTCCTACTTCAAACGAACTTGGTTCTAGAATTAAAAAGAAAGAAAAACAAAAAGACAGAACAGATAAGTCAGATCCATGGCAAGCAGCAAATGCATCAGCTTGAGAAAACAGTTACTGTGATAATGTTTAAATATGACGTTACCACAGCTCACTTAAAAGATCTCAAGGACTGCCCTAGCTGGTTTGGCTCAGTGGATAGACTGTCAGCCCGAGAACTGAACAGTCACGGGTCGATTTTGGTCAAGCACACCGAGCAGTTAAGAGTGAGGCACCATGTTAGTTTCCAAATGGTGACAACATGCCATAGTCACACAGTGTTTGTGAAACAGGGGAAGCTGGTAGCAGGGACTCTGTACCATGTTAACGTCTCTGTAAATCTCAAATTACTCCAAAATAAACTTTTTAAAAAAGTGTTGATAGAAAACAGAAAGGAGCCAGTAGCACGCAATGAAGACCCAACGTGAAAACTCAGTTTCTGAGAAGCTCATCTGTCTGAGGAACTGGAGACTTTAAGGGAAAAGAAGGAGAATTATTTAAATAACCATCAGAGAACTATAAAGTCATTTCTGAACAAAATTAAACTATTTTCCACCAAAAACTCCCAAATGAGTAAATAATCTAAATGTTTAAAAAACTGGGTAACAAAACCTTGGAGAAGGCTGGTATTTGACAAAGAGCCAAGATCCTTTGTCTGACACTACTGTGGGAGAAGGGAGGCGTGCTGTCCAACTATCTAACAGTTAAAAGTTTACAGAGTGAGAAGCGAGACTGAGGGAGGACAGAGGCAAACTGGGAAACTGCCTTCCACAGGTCTGTGAGGGGCTGTTTTCCCCTGAGAAGCCTCCCTTCCTCAGAAGACAATGGGTCCAGGTGCAGACGGCCAACTAAGAGACCAAGAGTAAAGATCCAGACAGAATACCCACACCAAATGGAAGCAGACACCAGGAGAAAAAGCAAATACCCAAGTTTGGGGGCCAAGGCAACCTGACCCCCTGCTGGTGGCTGTGGGGATGGACATGCTCCTCTGGAAGAAGGCAGTGTCCCTTCTGTGGCCCAGGAAGCCCTGCTCCAGGAGCTGATGCTACGGAGTTATTTCCCAGAAGCGTGTGCCACAGACACTGTGGCCCCAGAGCTGTGGGACAATCTAGACACTGACGGTAGCTAAGGCTCAGTATGTGATCACCCATCAATCCTAGTAAATAGTAACTAGTTTCCACTGAGAATAATCAGAACACCATGTGGAAATGTAAAAAATGTCCGAATTATGCCCTGGCCAGTGCTCAGTGGTTAGAGCGTTGGCCTACAGACTGAAGGGTCGCAGTTGGGAAAAGACTGCGTGACAAGGGTATGTAGGCGGCATGGGAGACATGGGACACCCTGGGGCTGTACGTGGCTTCCTTGTCCTGCAAGCTGTTGCCATTGGAAGGCTAGGGGACAGGTCTCCATCCTTTCCTGTGCTAGTTCTGCAACATCCTGTGAATCTACAATTCTTTCAAAATCAAAAGGTTAAAAAAAAAAAGACAAAAACACTAGATTCTGTTAACCTGAGAGGGTAATAGGCAAGTCTAACAAGGGAACTGGTTCTCAATCAATTATTTCAGAAAACTAAAGGACCTGGTGGTGTTGGTGTACATTCTGGGTCCCCAGCTCTTATCTGTCCAGGGTGGTCTGTTCAGAGCAGGCAACATGTGTGGGAGGGAGAGAACTCCTGCCTCTAAAAGACACACAGGCACCATCTCCAAAGGCCTATAAGGGGGGCCAGGCCACACTCCAACGGTGGCTGGGGAGCCCACCTGTTTGATTGTCCTGTTCCCACGAGGGACAAGGAAAGAAAGCCCCGTGCTGACAAAGAGTCTCTCCTTCCTTTGTGTGGTTTAGCTTAAGGCAGGGAACCAAAAATTAGGCACTTTCCAAGGTCTTGGCTCAGTAGGAGAAAAATGAAAGAGCAATAGACCTTCAGGCAAAGGTGTCAGAGGTCCAGGAACGCATATTTCCTTCCAGAGGATTGAGACATCCGAGAGTGTTCCCCCTACCCCTGGGTCATTCTCAAGCCTTACCGTGATATAAAAGGATTCTTGGGGGCTCCTCCTCCTCCTCATCCTCCTCCAGGATGGAATTAACAGGATCAAACTCCATTGACTCTTCAGAAGACTGATGGTCTGCCAAAAATGTCAGATTAGGCTTTCATGGTGAATGACTCATCCCCCAAGAAACACTTTGTGATCTGTGACCATAAGTGAAAACAGATCCATGTTACACAGACTTCCACAGTGCCCGATTCGAGTGGGGCACATTTCCATTAGAGGGCATTTAAAAGACAAATACATGAGACAGAGGCTGAGACAGAGAGGGGATGTCCAGGCTGGAAGGCAAAAAAACAATGGAAGTCACAAGAGATTGACTGGATTCTGGGCAGGATCCCTTTCAGGTGCGAAGCATTCAGTGGATATGCAGGGACAGTGACACAACTGGGAGACAAGGCAGGGCTGTAGTCACAACACAGGGAGGTTGCAAACAGTTCCCTGCAGCCTGCAAATATGCCAGGGTATGGGCCTCATGAAGGAAGTTTAGACTCAGGGCAGAACCCTGAGCAGCAGGTGGGTAGTGAGAACTCGAGACACCCCAGCAAGCAGAAATGAAGAGTTCTCAATTAGCGTTTCAAAAATAAGTGGGGTGTTACGATGTGAAAATGGAAAAAATCATAGAGTCTGACTGCAGCTGCATAGAAATGTGTCTACACGGGAAGTCAGAAACCTCTATAGTGAGTTCATCACTTAGAGCAGCGGATCTCAACCTGTGGGTCGAGACCCTTTGGGGGTCGAACAACCCTTTCACAGGGGTCGCCTAAGACCATCGGAAAACACATATATAATTACATATTGTTTTTGTGATTAATCACTATGCTTTAATTATGTTCAATTTGTAACAATGAAAATACATCCTGCATATCAGATATTTACATTATGATTCATAACAGTAACGAAAATAATTTTATGGTTGGGGGTCACCACAACACGAGGAACTGTATTAAAGGGTCACGGCATTAGGAAAGTTGAGAACCACTGACTTAGAGATTCCTGTGTTCTCACTTCTGCAACCGTTTAAGAAAAAAGGAGTCAATCCTGGAAGGGAGCATTCTCACAAATACAGTGCCGCCCACGACAGGTCTGCAGGCACACTGCCCCAGGCCCACTCCAACTCCTCCCTCCCCTTCAAAACAAAAACAACAACACAAATATGGGGACAAGTGGAGTCATTAAAGCCCAGTTCAAGAGTCAGACAAAAAAGGAACTGGGAAATCTTTGTTTTGGATCTATTCTGGTACTGATCTCATTAAGATCTGGTTAAAAATACATGGGGCCTGGCTCTGGATCTGGCTGAGGGAAGATCAGAACCCCACCCTGTCCCAGCGCCAAAACAGACCTACCTTCCTCCAGGACAGGAAGACTTGTGTTATCGGAGGGAGTGAGGAGGATGGAAGGGCCAAGTCTACTGGTACTTCCCAGAGTCATGCATCCCCTTAGCCCTGACCTCTGGCTGCCACCAGAGCACAGCTGCTTACCGGGTGGGCCGTGAACATCCGGGTAGGCTGGGTGCACAGTGGGGCTGCCTGATGGCGAAACTGAGTGGCGACCTTTGGCACACAGACCCTGCTCCATAGCTGCAGAAGGTGAGCTCAGGACTGCAGAGCTGTCCGTCTTTTCCTCACTCTCTCTTTCCTGATCTCCCACTGAAAGTGAAGAGCCATTCTGACACCTGCTGGGCTCCTGTGCCAAATTCCTTCCCCTTTTACTCAGGGTCGTCCCATTTTTGAGGTGTATTCTTGACCCACTCCGGTCCCGAGAGCCACCTCCAGCTGAGACCACCCGGATAAGTGGGCTTTCATTTTCCCCAACCCCCTTCTTGTTGTCCATTTGGCACTTGATCTCATTTTCACTAGTGGACGAGCCCGACAGCTTCTGATGTCCGCGTAGCCTCCTCTCAGATCCGGAACTGCCCAACACCCCCTCATGGAGAAGAGATGAAGGGTTGGGATCACAGAGTGAGGATGCCAGTTCCATGTGCTTCTCTCCTGCAGACACAGCAGTTCTTTCTTCCCTTGAAGAGTTTTCTTGATGAGAATGGGTTTTCTCATTCAAAATATCCAGAGCCACTCTAAGTGACCGTCTGTAGGTCAACTCCTCCACAGGTTTGGCTGAAACCTTGTTCTGTGAGGCTGAAGGATGGTAAATAAACAAAGCCTGGTGACGTCCAGGTGCCCGGGCACTGCCATCAGAGCATCACTTTACAGGCTCTGTCTCATTCTATAGCTAGTTTTCCACCGAAAGGGAGAACTGACACTTCTCCTCTGTCTTCCCCAAAGGGGGACAGAGCTGCAAAACCATAACTGGCTGTGGTCTGCATTCAGGGCTGCAGGGCTCAGTTTTTTATTTTTATTTTATTTTATTTTTTAAAAATATATTTTATTGATTTTTACAGAGAGGAATAGAGTCAGAAACATCTATGGGAGAGAAACATTGATCAGCTGCCTCCTGCACACCTCCTATTGGGGATGTGTCCGAAACCAAGGTACATGCACTTGACCGGAATCGAACCTGGGACCTTCCAGTCCGCAGGTCGACGCTCTATCCACTGAGCCAAACCAGTTAGGGCAGGGCTCAGTTTTTTAAAAGAACAAATTGAATAATCCTAACTTGATTGAGTGACAAAAATAAATTCCTCCAGATTACAAAATAATCTTGCCAGTAAAACATATTCAAATGTTTCACAAATCCTCTTGTAGTCTGACAACTTCCAATTCGATCAAGGTCAATGAGAACCCACTCCAAGGAAATAAAAAATTGGGAGGGCCCAGCCAGTGTGGCTCAGGGGTTGAGCGTCAACCTATGAACGGTTCTATTCCTGGAGGTCATGGTTCTATTCCTGGTCAGAGCACAGGCATGACTGCCAGTGGGGGGGCGTGCAGGAGGCAGCCGATCAATGATTCTCTCCCATCACTGATGTTTCTATCTCGCTCTCTCCCTTCCTCTCTGTAATTAACAAAAATATATTAAAAAGAGAACTTGGGAGGAATGCATTCTGGGGTGGAGGGTAGGGTGGGAAATAGCCGACTGAAAGGACTCCTTGTTGGCAGGTCAATTTTCCATACTTTTCTGCAAGGGTATCTCAAAGGCAGGAAAGAGCACTCCGGGCATTGAGTTCAGCCTGGCCTCTCTGCTGAAACAGTGTCATTTATTCATTCCAACACACAGACCTGATGCTATTCATGGGAACTAGTGACAAATGCAATCTCCCAGCTCAGCGGGTATAACCTCCATCAACACAGGACTTCTTGTGATTCATATAAAAGCACCCACCAACAACTGGCCTCCAACACAACCTGAGCAAACAGATGGTGGCAACTGAGAGGTGATGGTTGACATGCCCAGGGTGTGCAAGGGTGAAACCTGCTTTGAAAAATAAACAGCTGCTTTTCCAAAGGCACAGGAACACAGACCCTATTTTATAAACACCATGGTAAGGAATTCTGGATGACAAGACTAACTGGTGAGTGTCTACGTGTCCTTTGGTAAGGCCTCACAGTTCCTTACCCAGTAAGGCAGCGATGTCCTCGATGTGGGACTTCCTCAGAATCTTGGCTTCTGTGCTTTTCACTCTCACCCTGCAGGGAAAGAAATGACTGTTATATACTACCTGCTACCCACCAAGGCCATGGAGTTTCAAACATGTTTTCTTTAGATTACAAAAGAATTAGGCTTGTTTTCTTCCTTCTCAACTTTCCACTTAAACCAAGTTACAGCCAACTAGGAATCCATGTGCCTGAGGTTTGAGTCAGCAAGGACCCTAGTGAATAATTCATGTGGGGTTGTTTCCTCTTTTAAAAAGACAGAAAAGGTTGGCTGGATTTAAGAGTAAAAATGAATTCAAATTGTGACTTTAATAAAGCACATCCTACTTTCAACTGCACAAATAACTCCTTCAGTTAGATTTTCAGAGTACAGATAATGTCACTAATAGATGTTTACAGCTCAGCAGGTGTGTTTTAGTTTAAAAGGATGTGCTTTCTTTTCAAATTCCAGTATTCAATTACCTCCCCAGCTGCAGGGAAAGTGTGAGCTGGGGACTAAACAAGCTTAGAGGCTCTGAAGAAAGAGGGTGGGGAGCTGCAAAGGGAGCCCACTGGGTTTTATTTTAATTCTCTATTTAGAATTGGGAATTCTTCCACCAGACACACGATGCCAGTCCTACTCGATCTGAGTATTTTTATCTTCTTTCTAGATAATCTTATGTCCTTCCATTCCAGGTAATCAAGAGAACAGTAATGTGCTGCCAGAATCATGGGTGTGCCTTCTGAGTTCTAAACAATAGTTTATTAGAGGGACTGACTCAAAATCAAATATTTCAAAACTGATGGGTCTATTACACAAATGGGGGTGGGGGGGGTGGGGGGAGAAGACACAAATCAGTGGGCAGGAAATACCCCTATTTCAACACCAATGATGAGAGTTTACACTAGTGTAATTTTATATTTATTCAATTTTTGTACTGGTCTCCCTGGAGATCACACGCCTCGTGTAGATCTTCAATTTCCAAACTGACATAAAATTAAAATCAGCTACTTTCTTCTTAAGATTATGATGAGCACTAATCAGTTACAGTAACTGAAGAGTTAATAAGCCTTTAGGCATACACTTCACTTTTTTGGTGGGGGCATGGTAATCAGAAATCCCATCCTATCCTATAATAAAAGGCTAATATGGAAATAGACCAAACAGCGGAACCAAACCACCAAACAACCAGTCGCTATGAGGTGCGCCGACCACCAGGGGGTGTGTGCAGAACATGGCAGGTGTTGGCCGCGCTGGGATGGTGGAGCAGGTGAGTGGGGTCGCCAGACCAAGGCGGGGCACCCGTCGCTGTCATTGGGGCAAGCCTCTGGTGGTTACTGAAAATTCTTTGCTCCTGCATGCCTTGGCACTCTCACCTGCTCCCAGCACTCGTACCTGCTCCCGGTGCCAGCCCGGCTCGCACCCACTGCTGGTGCCTGGAGCCGGTCCTGATCACTCGGTGCCATCAGCGGGTGCAAGCTGTGGCTGCTGGTCCCGATCACCCCTGAGGGCTTCTCTACCTCCCCCTACTCCTGAGGGGCAATCGGGGAAGCAGCCACCCTTTGCACCCACTGACGGTGCCAGCCCAATCGCTCTGTGCTGTCAGTGGGTGCAAGTGTGGCTGGTACAGCAGGAGGGGCCAGGCGGGGACACCCCTGTGCCCACTGCAGCCTCACAGCCCACAGTTTCTTTCAAGGTGCACGAATTCGTGCACTGGGCCCTAGTAAGGAAATAAAAGTCTTAAAAAAACTGTAACACTTAACTTTTTGTCTAAGGAGAGTATTTGAACATTTAGAAAAAATCTCTTTTTTTTCTTGGTTGTTGACATCTCAGTTCTGGCCAAAACCTATGTTTAAAAAAAAAAAAATCCTTGTTATTAAGACGACAACAAACAATTGACACATAGTAAGAAGCAGTGACAACAGG